AAGAACAATTTGTTATAAAAAATCAACTCTTATTTGAGGATATAAAGCAGTGACTAAAGGTGCTGCACAGCGCTTGTTATGCCACTGAGAGTTTATTTCAAATGTTTCACTTATATGTATCCCATTTTTCTTGATGTTGAATGTGGGTGTGCCTGAAGTGAATGAGATAAATTGGCTTGAAAACTTGCTTGACATCACTCGTAGCTGCATGCATTGCATGTTCGAATTCAAGGCGCTCAGTGAAAGAGCTCCTTTATGTCTCTCATTTCGTAACTGCTCTTGTGAGATAGGCTTTTTTGCTGAGCTTTATTTTCACGTTCAAATTTAGCATGTCAAACACAAGCCACATGCCCTAATGGTGGTCGTTATTTGAATATTGGATGCACGTTCTCCGCTCAATGCACGCCATTTTATAGGTGAGGAATGACACTTTTTCCTCCTTCACAACGCTCCTCTTCCGAAACTTCTCATAAAAGTTACTGTCGAAGTGCAATTTTTGAAATTCCTGCTCACCTTTGTTGGTTCTTTGGTTTTATTCTATGAATTATTGACCAAGTTTTCATCTTGAAGCGGTGTATCGACCTGCTTCAATGGCTGTTGCTGCACAGTACCCAGTCCTACACCACCACCATCGACAAGCCGATTTGGTGAGCGATTCTCGTGATATAACATTATCTCCTGTTCTTGAATCAGTAAAGAAATGCAATACATACATAGTATAATATAAAACAGTGAATTGTTTTTGGCGCTGTTGCAATATGTGGGACATCCTTAGGAACAATCCTAGGAGGAGGCAGGAATGCCGGGGAGAGTGTAAATGGTTGGCGCACCGCGAAGTGTCTCCTCTCCGCCTAAGCTTTATGGTTAGCCCCGTTTCTAACGAGAAGGGCCCGTTTCTAACAAGAGGGGCATGTTGTACCCGATTTTGAAAGCTTGCCATAACAGTAGCGTATCTTACGATAGCGCCTTTTTTCTCCTAGGCTCCTATTTTTTAATTCCGAATAAGTATCGAGCAGTGCTCGATTGATTGGCTGTGAAAAGGAGCTAAACCACCGACGAAGACTTCAACAAGATCCTCCTTTCTTCCCGTTCAAGATGGGGATGGGACGTATCTGGACGAGTCTCTGAACTTCTTGTCCCATGTCTCTACTACTAAACCGCCCGTAGTTGGAGTAGCCGCTACTTCGTCATACACGTTGCGTATCACGGGGTGTGCGCGAGGTACCTCGTCCATCAGCTCACATTAGCCCTCATAAGCCCGCGCTGTAAGGCCCTAGTGCCTTTTCCGCCTATTTTGAGTAGCGAACGGCACTTTCGTAATACTCGTGCGCAACTTTATCCTACATACTGAGCAGATTGTTGGGATGCTTGATACACGATTCACCTGGGTTTCTTGCACTAAGGTAACAACAACCATAATAAAACTGAGCAAAATATAATAAAACGAAATTTGCGCTAGATATCTTCTGGCAGGCCTAGCACAGAAGTAGATATAGTAGAAAGGAAAAGGAAAAGGCACATTCCACAGCTCTAGAAATAAGTTAGGCAGTTACTCAAATCTATCACTCCCGAGTAAAAGGTACACTGCCTGAGCTGCAGAATTGTGCTGTCATGCAGTTGGTGTAGTTTCCCATGAGTTTTTTTTCTGGAGACCAGACTTGTCTGGAATGCAAATTATTGACCTGACCGTAACCCCGGGATTCGTTCGTTAATTCTAGCTGCTTTCTAATATCCGCTCCAGTTTTCAACAAAAAGTGAGGCGGGCCACATGGCCTGGGGCAAAGAAGAGTCCTGAGTCACGCGCAGCTTCATTGTCTTAACCCTTTCCAGGATCCAAAATAACAACTACTCCCTGACCCCTGATTCACTTCTCTCTTATATTGAATAACTCTGTCTTTCTTCTATGTACGTGATTCCAAGAAGCAGTCATGTTTAGGATACTGTCCATCCGGACAGCTGTCGGAAGTGCGATGCAGTGGACGCGGACAATGTCAGGCTGGACAGACGTGCATGAGCGGGCTTTGTTGTACAACCACCGGAAATGAATGGAATGGTGAGCAAGTTGCCCAACCCTTCTTAAGAAGTCCATATCAAGTTGCCCGAACCTTCCTCGAAACTTCCATCTTCAGAGGCATGTGGTGGATTAACGGCTTTCGGTTCCTGCAATAATGGTGCCTGCTCGTATGGAGTCTGTACTGCTTCAAACTATTGTTGCGAATGTCCTGTAGGACGGAGTGGCGGGCGATGTAATAATGTAAGGAATTATCTAATTGTTTCTCATCTAATTTTAAACATTAGTGATTCCTGAATAGTTAACTCCTTGGTATGGTCAACGTTTTTTCGTGATGCGCCATTGCGACTTTTCCTCATATTTATCATCAATTGAACGCAATGCTGTCCGTAACAAACGAGATGGGAGGCGATCTACATGTCAATGTTTCTAATCACAACACCGAATAGATTCCAATAATGGTACGCTTCGCCAGAGATTGGGCTGGATTATGTATGCAGAAGGCTCCTCATGTCTTTCTCCACCAAGGGTCAACCGTCCGTTGGACAAATACCAACGAGAGCTAAGAAGAAAAATTTGCTGCCCCCCCCCCCTTCCGCTCGACGGCTATTTTGGAGGAAATTTGGGTGGAGTTAGTCGTGTCACAAGTACTACAGTAACAGATTTGATGGTAAGAGTGGTGGTCGTTATTGGTGGACCTCCTGAGTCTCATGGTGGTCGAGGGGGGTCGTGAAAAATTCCAAAAAGTACCAACGGTAGGGTTAACCCTGGGGGGAAGGTCGTAAAATTTTTGAAATTTATCCAACGTGACGGTTGACCCTCCTTCCACCTCAGACTTTGGTGCCCTCCTTTCACCCCCTTGTTTAAAGTGTGAGGCCGGCTAGTGAATTTGATAGGCAGCTTGAAAAGCCATAATGTTGTTTCACCTCAACTTCATTCTCAACTGTTATTTCCACATCACTCGCAGCTGTCCGCCATCGCCCGAC